CCGGTGAGATACAGTTTGAAAAGGTAGTATGCATCACCATGCTCCTTAATCTCATTTGCATCACCGAGACAAGTTTGCGCCAGCACAATCCACTTTGGGCCATTTTTCAGGGTGAATTGTGTCCTTCACTGCGGTGTTCTTTTCACTCCGAGCTCTTTAGACTTCTGTGATACTCATTGACTAATTCTCTATTCTTTACTTGGACAGGATGAACAAGGAGCAAACAACGCAATGAAAAAACACGAACAACTGCAAAAGGTTGTTGAAAACTATGCGAATGAGATTCGCAACTTGGGTGAACGCAGTCGTCATATGTTGGAGGCCGGCCATCCAGAAGCAGAAGCCGTTGCAGCCAAACAAGCACGGGTCGATAAAATGTACGCGGGATTACGTGATTTGTGCGTGGAACGCCGTGCCAGATTGGAAGAAATACTCAAACTGTATTATTTGTTGCGAGAAATTCTTGATCTGGAGGTTAGTCTTCGTTCCATTCTGTTGCAACTGATGATTTCCTACAAATGATGGTCCTATCCTGAACTGTTTTCCTGACTGTTATTCCACTGTGTACCGGAACACAATAACAGACGATCAGCTAGGTTTTTTTTAATTGTGATAAACAACAGACGGGGCGAACCCCATAGTCACGAGTACCTGCTGTTCAGCGGCGGAAACTGGCAACCTAAGCCCCGGGACTTGGAGTGGTGATCCACATAAGGTAAGGCCCCGATAGGTTAGGCTTGGTATTGAACTGGTCGACAGCAGAGCTGCCTATCACCGAAGTCGGGTGGCGGTGGCGGGGCTTGAACCTCTGACCATAGGGTCCAAAGCACGCCGGTGACAGCGACTAAACCACTGTGACGAACGGCTGATACTTTCACTGGGTAACCATTTGCAAACCAACGGGAAATAAATTTGAAATTCTCATTCCACGATAAACCTAGCTATGACATACGCAATGGTATACTGTGACGTATTCTCTCTGTTGATCATCATCATCGTCGTGCAGCGAAATACAGGAAGCAAACTTCACTGATCGCTGCCAAACTCGCAATGCATATGCATTTGGGGTTGACGGACGGGTACTGCTAGGGTGTCCAGCCACTAGGCAGGAGAACGGTTAGAGTTCTCAGCCAAAGCCTTTAGTTCTGATAAGCACCTGACCGCAAGGCAGCGGGTGAAGCGAAGTGGAAGCCCACTCACTTGGATCAATAACTCCTCCATTTTTCACCGACTGAAACGCCATTTCTAGTCGAACCCCCAAACTGGAAGACCAGGAGACTGGACTTCGTCCGGCCTCTACCCTTCGACCTTCCAGGCATGATCTTCGGCTTGACAAAAGGCATTCTGTGTAGCTCATTGGGTCAGAGAGGCACATAAGCCTTCACACCACGTCAAGGTGCAGTGATTGTTTAGTCCATCATTAGCACCAAGGGTTTGAAAAATATGGTTTATATCAATAATGAGAAAAGATGAGCTCTCACTTGTTCAGTGAAAGGACCAAGCCGGAGTTTTTAGTTTATGTTCAAGGAACCAACTATCTTTGAGTCAACGATGAGTAGATCCAATGTCTCATCGTTGTATGTCGTCAGTTGCGTGCAATCCATAGCCTAAGGTTTGATTACCAGTAAAAAGAATCCTATAGGATTCAGTAAGCATCAGCTTTATAATTTACACATAATTAAAATTCGAATTTGAAAGGTTCCTATTTCTAATGCCAAATATCCCCTTCTGTTGATGTTGAGAGAAGAATAGATACGTGCTTTGTCACGACTAGCATTTATCAAAGCACTCATTCCAATGTTTATTTGATTTGTTTATTTGCTTGCCACTTGAGTCAATTTTGGTTTCACAGCGTTGCATAGGTTGATTCGACACGAATCGGTTTCATTCAATATCTTGATACATCCGAAAATTTTGTTTATAAATAAAACCAGGTTTCATGTGAGTAATGGAGGATTTGATTAAATTTCAAATGGGAATTCGTCGAACTGAAAAGCTAGGAAGCACTGGACAGCTGTTCCGATCTGGTCGGGTCTCATCAGCAGTGCGAATCCATTGACCCAACTGGGGATCGAACCCGGGACTTCATGGGTTCATATGAAATAAGTAATGAGATCTTGAATGTTTCCAACTGAGTCTTAACTCTGGAGTCTAGTGCTGAGATGCGTAGGGTCTGTGGCCCTCAACAAGCTGGCAAAGATGGGTTGTGCTATATCGTGCAAACGGAAAATGAAAAACGGTCTGATTAGCTGCCCGGTGCCGTAGTGGGTAGCATGCTTGCGTTCTGCCCATGAAATCCCGGGTTCGATCCCCAGTTGGGTCGATGGATTCGCACTGCTGATGAAACCCAGCCAGATCGAAACAGCTGTCCAGTGCTTTTCAGTTCACGCTTCATTTGCCATATACACGACGAATTCCCATTTGAAAACCAGATTTATTAAACAACTATTCGATTTGATTTCTCCAAAGTGCTTTTTGTTGCCCTACGTTTATTCAAAGTCAAAGTTTTGTTATGGGCGATTTAGTGAAGCTAAAGCTTATCGTGCACCATAGGATTTTTACAGAATCTATTGAATAACTTTACAAAGAGAAAATAATAATGATGTGCATAATCACTCACGGATGTCGAAATTTTAAGTGTTCCAATTCTCTATCAAGTTGCGATTTAAATAGTTCAACTGTAGGAGTACACTACATCAGGTGGAAGAGAATTTCGTACACCGCACATCGTCTTCAAACGAGTGATGCTGCCAATCAAGGTGACTGTTCTGGGTCTTCAGCTTTAGTGGATGTCTCCTGAGGTGATCATTTTGAGATGAAGTCAGCATAGAACAGCAAGGGTGGTTGGGTTGATGCAATATGTGATATGTCAAGATTAGGTGCCTCCGAAGTCGGCGGTATTGAAATGAGTAAAGCAGTCTTTCGGGGTGTCTTGTTATACAGACCTTTTATTAATTTTGTTGCCAACCGTTGCGGATGTTCTAGAGCCTTCTTTTCGCGGTTCAACTATAGATTCCATACTTGAACGGCGTACTCCGTGTGTGGCCGAATAAACGCTGATAGTAAACGTGGGAACAGTGCTTTTTCGAACTGCCCAAAAGCACGTCAGAAAGATGCGCCCCAATCATGCCGAAATAGCTTTTCAGTTCACGCTTTGTTTGCTCTATACACGACAAAAATTATTTTATGAACTTCGGCGTTCTAATTAATGTTTATTCCTCTCAGGCTTGGATCGCTGAGCGAATTGTGGTTGCCAGCAGCCACGAATTGGGTGCAGACTATGAACACTGTTGCCTTCTCCGAGAACACTTTGCTGAGTTCGCTCGTGAAACTAATGAACTTGGTAAACACAGGATTGCAGCAGCCAACGAACTGTGCGATGCCCTTATCGATCAGGGTCACGGTGAAGCCGCTGAGATAGCCGGTTGGAAGGATCGTGTCAATGAGGCTTGGGCAGATCTACTCGAGTTGATTGACACACGTATCCAGCTCCTCAAGACTGCTTTGGACCTACACAAGTTCCTTTCTGATTGTCAAGTACGTTTGCGTCTGCCGTATTAGTTTCAATTTACTTCTGAATAATTCATCGTGAAGAAAAACCTATATCGTAGTCTGTTGTTTTTTTATACCAGCATTGGTGACCTTGGATAAAACACTCAAGAATCGTGCTATGTGGTGTAGACCATATTTAGATGCCTTATGTATGTATGTATGTATGTATGTATGTATGTATGTATGTATGTATGTATGTATGT